CGAGGGCACCGAGGGCACCGAGGGCACCGAGGGCACCGAGGGCACCGCGGATCCGATTGAGGGGCCGGGCCGGAGTTGGAAGGGGCCCAGATTCGATGGTGAAGTGCTGAACGGGGGGGGAAGCCAGGAAACCGGCCATCCGGCCGTGGCTGGATCGCAAAGCTGGAGAAGGCGTCACCATGCTCGGGAACTTCCCCCCTACCTGCCACCTGCCACCTCGCTCAGTTCCTCCGGACCCTGCTCCGCACCTTGTTCCGCTCCAGTTCCTCCTTCGGCTCCACCGAGACGTAGGTTTGCGGCGCCTCTTCTCGATAGGCCTTGGCCACCACCGTCACCTCAGGCGTCGTTGGTTCGCCGCCAAAGCCCTGAGGGGGGTCGTGGTGGATGTTTCTGGATTTGCCGGTTCGGACGGAGGGCGGGATTTGACAATTTGAACGGTTCAATTAGATTCGGAGTTTTGACCACCAAGCTTATAATGAGTTCTATCGGACAACCACGGTCTGAGGGAGGTTTTTAATGGATTTTAGACTAACCAATCAACCTATATAGGCATTTATATAGACATTATATATATTACATTATATTACAAAATGGTCTTGGGTGTAGAATCAAGGCTACGGGCTACTCGTCGACTGTTGCTTTGGGGGGTCATGGTGGTACAGGCACTGGGGACTTTGGTTGTTTTCACTTGGCCGGCACCGTTCGGGCGAAACCTCTGCGGAGGTCTGGCCGGCTCGGTGCCATGTGGGTGATTCGCCCTGCCCGAGTGCCAGGTCCAGTCATAGCGAACCTGAGGAGGTGCGACTGGAGTCCTAGTGTTAAGGATCACCTAGAGTGACTGGAACCTTGCAGATCTTCCAGCCCACTGATTTCGTCACTCCTATACGCCTATTGAATCCTATTGATGCGACTTCCGCCCCGCGGTGGACGCGGGAGCTTAACCTCTGGCCCGGTTGCGATGATGCCCAAGAGGATCGTGCCAAAGCCTCCCGTCACAGTCCGGTCGTCCCGGTCTCGCGCCCGGGGCGCGACGCGGACGGCACAGGGCTGAGCTCCGAGCTGGGGGGGGGGGTCCTCCAACGGGGACCTCGTTGGTTGGCTGGAAAAGAAGGACCCTCCAGCAGGCTGTTTGGAGACCCTAACAGGTGGTTGATGGGCACCGGACTTGTCACCTGTTACCCTGTCACCCTGTCACCCTTCACGGTCTCCCGCCTGCGAAGGTGCTCCAGGTGAGCGCATCCGTCGGGAAGAAAAGCCCCTGCCACAGCAGGGCGAAGACCGGACCCAGACTCCTCGGTTCAGCGATGGAAACCCCTCCAGGGTGGGTCCTCCACCTGCGACGGCGGTCGTTGTGGTGCGCGAGAGCCAGGTGACGGACCTCCTTGTTGGGCAACGGCGTGATTGAGTAGAGCTGGCTTTTTCAGGTGTATGGGTCATCCCTGGACCTTCTTTCAGGGTGTCCTGTCTCGAGATCCCTATGCTGTATAAGTAGTGGGCTGGGGCGGCTGTTCGCCAGGTGACCCCGAACTGAAGGTGCTGGTATTTGTGATGTTCTATTCTATCCGAGCCGTGCACAAAACAGCTGATCCACCCAAATGAATCGTCTACAAGCCATGTCAACGAAACACCAGTGGTGGGCTCTGTCCTTGGTCCTGGCATGCCTGCCAGTTGTGGGATGTAAATGGCGATTTTCCAAGCGTCACTGGGCAGATTTAAAGTCGGCAGTGTAGAGTCGGAATAGGTGCAAGCAACGACCTTGATACTGTCTGGAGGATTGCTTACCTTCAAGTAGCTGTAGCTTTTGTGGCTGGGCAGGTTTGGTTTGTTCGATGTGTCAATTGAGGGCCCTTGGTTAGGTGGGGAGACAAGACATTAATTAAGGCTGTTCTTTGCCAACCCATGTGTCTCTCTAGCTTGTCACCGTCTTCATGTGTCTTTTCAACCATGAACATTCAGCTTTTGTACCGCTGTCTTCCTCAGAACTTGCTGGCTGTTTGGGCCACAACGGTCCTTTCCAAAAAGCCTCCCAGGCACTGACGCACTAAGGAGCTGGTGGCCGACTTCTCCTCCCAAAACGGCACGAGCTTCGTGCAGAACGCTTCTTGGCACTGAAAACAGCACCAACGTGCAGGACCGGTAGGGGCCGGGTAGGGTAGAACCCGGAGGTACCAACAGAGGTTGTTGAATGACCCGAACGTTCGACCATCCCAGGAACGGGTACCCCAGGTGACGGGTCCTTTTTCAGGTCACTGGCTACCTCTCTTGTGCCCAGTTGCTGCATTTTGACTCTGCAACCGTTGAACAACAAACGTCACGGGTCACGCAGGGTCACGGGTCACGCAGGGTGAAAACCTAACCACTCCGCGAGTGGAATCCAATGCTGTTCACTGTTAATGTCGTCTCTGAACGTGGGGTATTCTCTGTATAGTACAAAACCTGAGTCTTGATTTATCCACCCATCTCCCACTTTGGGAGGACTGTCACTCCACTGCGGCTCCTTTTGCATTCCCTTGGTCATGGCCATCTGTGACAGGAAGCCCGCAGTACCGATGGCCAGTGCGATGGCCAGCTGGGGGCGACTGAACAGCCTGGTGCGGACTGCCGGCACTGGTGTGATTGGTGCGGTCAGAGAATCCTTTTCGCGTCGAAGGGCCCCCAAATTCGGAAAAATATATAATCACGGCTTTCTGGCCACTCCCCGAGAGTCGACCGGAGACTGGGTCGGAGCTGCGAAGTGCTGTCGGAACA